GTGACATGGGAGCGTTCCCAGCACTCTCTGCTGTTATTTGATTATTTTATCAATAAAGTTTTAAAATGTAGACAGCTGGTGTGCCTTGTTATCTCCTCCCCAAAATAGATCCTGTGGCCCCAGCCTGATCAACTGTGGCCCAGGCGGATTGGTAACGAAAATCTGTCACAAGGCCGGGAAAGTTGTTAGGATGGTCACCTGTGCAGCGGGTTGTTCCGGATACCCAAGGTCCTGGCATGGACGGACGGTGCCCTGGTGAGCACTGGCAGGTGTAGCTCCCAGGTGTGTTGAGGCAGGAGGCATTGGGCCCACAGATTGCAGGATTTTGGGCACATTCATCCACATCTGCCAGGAGATGACTTGGAATTAGTCTGTGTGTTTATTACATGCATTACGGTAACACCTAGATGCTCCACTGTGCTCGGTGCTGCACAGACACAGTGCGAACTTACAGTCTAACAAGACAAAGTGCAGAGGCCAGGAGAGGGGCAGAGACTCAGGAAGTCAGGAGCAGGGCTGGGACTGGAACTCCCGTCTCCTCAATCCCAGGCAGTCGCCCGACCCCCTGAGCAACACTGTGCAGCCAGTAGCTCGCCCCACTCCCCGGGGCTCTGGAGACAGTCGCACACCAGGCTGGGCAGGCAGAGCCGCTCAGACCCTCGCTCTCCTCTGCGGGACGACCGGAGAGCCGGCCTCAGCCTCCCACCCCAGAGCTCCACCCACAGCCCCCGCACGGGACGCTCACCTGTGCAGTTGAACGGGATGCCAGGCTGGCTGCGGGGGAGGTAGCCTGGGGGACACGTGCAGGTGTAACTGCCCCGTGTGTTGGTGCATATGGAGCTGGGGCCGCAGGGCGATGGGTCCCGGGAGCATTCGTCAATATCTAGGGGAGGGAATCCAGGTTGGACCTGCGTGATGCTAGAACCCCAGGGATTTACTGCCAGGGGCCGCCCACACCCTCATCCAAAGCCCATTGGAGTCAGTGAGAGTCTTTCCACCAGCCTCAGGGGCCTTTTGGATCAATCACTCTGCTCTGGGCCAGAACCAGCACTCACCGTTGCACTGCGCTGCTGGGTCAGTGAAGCGCTGCTCCCCAGAACTGGATGCAAAGCCGGGATTGCAGGTGCAGTAGTGGCTTCCTGGCGTGTTGGTGCAGGTGGCGTACGCAGGGCATGAGGCCACATCCAGACACTCGTCGATATCTGTGACGGGGGAAGGAGCAATGGAGCCTTCCCTTGATGGGAGGAGGGGTGGGGAGACGGCAGGTCCCAGCACCTGGCATTGGAGGGGGCACCATGCCAGGAATATGGTTCCCAACAGATTTGCAAAATGCTGCCCAGTCCCAAGAGGCAGCGGGTGCTAGTGGCCTCAGTGATGAGCTCCCACAATCCTAATAACCGGTTCCCTACCGGGTCCTCAGCGGCACTTTCACAGC